TACAGTTCATGGCGAACAGAGAGCAGCGGGATGTCAATCAGGACGCCTCCATCAAGAGCATTGAGACTCAGTTGGGCCAACTGGCCGCTCGGGTGGGTACAATTGAGACTGAGAGGAGCAAAGACAAGCTACCTAGTCAGCCTGAGCAAGCAAAAGCTATAACAGTTCTCAGAAGCGGGAAGGAGGTGGACAACAAGGTTCAGATGCCCGAGCCTGATGATAAGGAGACTCATTCTGAAAAGATCGAAGAAGCAGAGTCCGGAAAGGTGACAGACGAGCCGGTGCTACATAAATCGCCGAATCCGTACAAGCCGCGCATTCCCTTTCCGGACCGACTTAGGAACGAGAAGCAAGAGAAGCAGTTCCGAGATCTTTTCAACATGCTCTCCAAGGTGAACGTTAACTTACCTCTGCTCGATGTGATTAAGAACATGCCATCATATGGTAAGTTCTTTAAGGATTTGGTGACCAAAAAGAGGAAGTTCGAAGATGGAGAGAAGGTGGTCGTGTATGAGGCGGCAAGTGCTATGCAGCACGACTTGCCCAAGAAAGAGCGAGATCCCGGTGGTTTCATCATTCAGATAGCTCTGGGGAACGGGAAGGTAGCTTCGGGGATGCTCGACCTCGGAGCCGGAATCAATCTCATGCCCTTCTCGATTTTTCAAAGGTTTGGCCTTGGGGATTTGAGGCCAACTCGCATGTGCCTCCAGTTAGCAGACCGTTCCATCAGGTATCCCAAGGGAATAGTCGAGGATGTTCTCGTGAAGGTTGGTAAGCTTATCATTCCAGTGGATTTCGTCGTTCTAGACGTAGGGGATGTGCACGAGAATGGGAAGGATCACACCATCTTTCTCGGGAGACCTTTCATGGCGACGACCAATACTCTCATTGATGTGAAGAACGGGACCCTGAACATGACGGTTTTAGGGGAATCAGTGTCTATTTCTATCCGAGAAGCCATTTCTTCATCTTCTGTCAACTTCATAGAAGAATGTGCTTTTATTGGTCTTGCTGATCCCTTTGTTGATGGGATGATATTTCAGGAGTTCGAGGACAAGTTGTTGCCGGTTTTCGAGGAGGAGGACGAGCCTTTAGTGGAGCTTTTTGAAGTAGGAGAGGGCCATACCCGAGCGGAGACCACACTTGAGCTTAAGGAGCTGCCCAAGCACCTTAAGTATGTCTTTCTGGATGACGCGCATCAGAATCTGGTGATAATCTATGCT